TTCATAAGAGAGCAGCTTGTTTAACCTGTTGGTCTTAACTCCGGGATATCATAAGAGAGATTCATAAGAGATTCATAAGAGAGCAGCTTGTTTATCCTGTTGGTCTTAACTTCGGATTTCAGTTCTATATCAGCAAGAGCAAAAATGACTTGTTGCGGAGACAGAAACCATGTATGACGCATAAGACTTAGGTAAAGAACTTTTTCTATTACTGTAATTCTTTAAACTTGTCTACTGTTTGTAGCTTGAAAGCAATACCGAACGCCATTAAATCATTCGAAGGTTCTTGAGAAGCATTAGGGCTTTTTAGAAATAAGAGTCTATAAAAAAATACAATGTAGTTGGTTGCAAATTTCAGATGGTTTATTGTATTTCTTCCAACTGTCTTGGAATTAGAAGGGTCGTACATTTGAGTCATCTGAACAGCCAGTAAGTATATACAGTCAGCCATAAATCTTGCTTCATGATGAGCTCCAGGCTGTTTAAATGAAAAGTTTAATAACTCAGCTCCTAGAAAAAATGCTAGAAGCTCACAAAGATACCTGTAATTACCTCTCTGGAAAGTATTCTTTAGAAGAGCTGTGATACAAAAGTCTTTAGTATCCAAGGCAAGTTTGAAAAGTAATGAGCCGGGCCGGGCTGAGAATTGTAATGCTTTCTGGTCTCAAGAAATCATCTTGAGACCAGAAAAACTTTACAATTCTCTCAAGTTTGTTTACATCTTCGTAAATCTGCGGCCATAGATTTTGGAGAATTACATAAAGTTTCTTGCTGGGACCACTTGTTGGACCAAATATTTCTTTCATCACATGAATCACACGCTTTTCATAAATGTGATGTCTACACATTAACCAGAGAAACGGTCAAAAAAATGTTTTTAAATTTTTAGCTTTTGTTAAATAACAAAAGAATTACATTTTTGTTAAAATTACAAGCTTTTTACAAAGAATTACAAGCTTTTGTTAAATAACAAAAGAATTACATTTTTTACAAGTTTAATATTAACAAAGTTAATATTAAACTTGTAAAAAATGTAATGCTTTTGTTATTTAATTTCAGATTTACCTATTGCTTTTTTCGAGATTAAGCCATTAATACCTTCTGAGCATTTCTCCATTTGTTGGAAGTCTACTAGGGAAAAAAAGTAAAGCGAACCTTAGCAAATAAAATTGTCTCCTTTACCCTGTAGCTTTTGACGCATCATCAATATCTGTTCTCAGTGAATGAACGTGACATTTTATGCCTAGAGACATTTTCTAAAATCAATTTATTTATTTCATTTAAAAAATCCGCATTTGGCGCATTTAGTTGTAGTTGATTGAATCAGAATTATAGAATACAACTAATTATGAAAAAATAGTAAATATGTTTTATATACAAATTCAAACCTGTGATTTAGATAAGTTTCTTAGTTGAAAACAAGTTTTAAACTTGATTTCTACTTTAATTATATATTGAGTTAAGTTGAATTTACGCATCATTAGTTTTTATTGTTTATAAAACACGCATTATTTATCTTATTGTTAGCCAAAATTTTATTTAGGCTTTTGTCAAAACATAAATAAAAATTGACTTGGATAAAAACCAATTTTAAATCAAAATTTATTTATTATAATTTATTATATAAAAGTAAATTTACCTAAATAACCTTCCCCTTGAGCTAAAAACTCATTTTTTTATTTATTTTTCTTTATAAATGAAATTATGCTAAATGCAGTATTCCACACAAAAAAAGTCGACTTATGATATATTTTTGAGTCACCCTAAAGCTAGATTTCATCAAAACAAGTTTAGCCATTTTTGCGTGAGTGAAAATATAAACTTTCATAGGTTCCTACTTATAATATCAGTAGAATATTTTATATATAAAAAGCGAGATGATAATTTTAATCAGGGTTGCCATCTGGTGTTTTTTTAAGCCAGATTTCTCAAATCTGGTTTGTTTTTTTATCGTTTAGCTTGAGATTTTCGTTTTGGTTTATTTTAGAAAATCTGGCTTAAATCTGGTTTATTTTAAAGTCTTTGGTCTTTTTTTGTTTGTTCTGGTATGTTTTTCAAAATCTGGTTTAATTCTGGTTTATTTAATAATAAATCAATTTAATCAAGTTTTTTTTTTCATGAAAAAGTTGATTTAATGGAAAGAAAGATTTCCATCTTTTATTTTATAGAAGAACAATCAAGTTTAAAATAAATGAAAGAAATGCTTACGTTAAAATCTTAAAACGTTTAAAACTTTTACTTGTAATGTCATTCAATATTGTTTTTATCCCTTAATTGCCAAAAATGTTTAAAAACTCTTACATTCAAAATGATATTTTTTGAGAAAAATTTGTCTGTATTGAATGTTGTTTCCCAAGTTGAAAAGGCCATTTCAAGTCTACAGTTATAACTTAAGGATGCGAAAGGTGGAGAATTGAAAATCATTACAGAAATCGTCATTAATCATAAATTAATTAACATTGCATCATTAGAGCGAGTCTAAAAACTTTAAAGAAAAATGAGTTTCTTAAAACACCCCTGAATTCTAAACTGCTTCGTAAACCCATTTAGATGTTTCCGGAGACCTAGACCTCTGCAATATAGATGTTTACTGCCTTGGCTGTTTATGTGTTCCGTTTCTAACTATTTTGTTGAGTCTTCTCACAGCTCATCTGCATAAAAATCAGACTAAGAAAATATCAAATTAAGTCTTGCATGCAGTCATTTGGGTCAAATCATATTTAATAAGGCGAAAGATTTTTTATCTGGATTTTGAAATAATTGAGTCAATTATCGCAGATGTTGGAAAAGAAATCTATATCCATATGCAAGCAAAATAATATATATATTTTACAGGTTGATAGTGTTTGATTTAGTATAGGTGTTTGGGAGTGAAATAATTTACCCACGCCACTTTGAAGGCTAGACTGGCACCCAACTAAACATTCACTTTCGTTCTTCTCCTCCTCCCTCTCTCTCTTACAAATTAAATTTTAGTATTCAAGGATGAATTTTTGGATAAAAAAGCATTATTTTCAAAATATAAATTATAAACAAGGCTTTGAAACAAAAAACTATGATTTTTTTCTTTTTTTTATGGTCTGGTTTATTTCTGGTTTATTTTTGTTTCATTTTTAGCTTGTGCGCGAAAAAAAACCTGGCAACCCTGATCTTAATGCAAACTAGTTTAAAAAAGTTGTTTATTAATTACAATACAGATCAACTGCTAAGTAAAATAGTTCTGTGATTTTCCTTATGGAAAAAATAAAACTCTAATCTGTTTATATTATATTCTATTTAATTCTATTATATTCTATTATATTCTATTTAATTTAGTTTTGTTATCAATATTTTTCCTTTTCTGCATAAGTCTATGTTAAATAACAACTAGATAATACAAAAATTCATACTTTTCAAGCATAAAGGTCAGTTATTACTTCTACGGGAACAAGAAAAGAAAGGGAAAAGTAGTTACTTGAGTATGCGTTGTATATTTTAATTTTCGAAGTAAAGTTACGCATGCTTGCGTGAAAAATTCCCCTTCTCTTTCCTGTTTCTATAGAAAAAAAGCATAAGCAGAAACTCACCTTCAAAAACTCTGTACAAAACTCTATAGAAGTTGCGAGTAAGCCCCAAACCTTTAATGCAATGAATTTGAGAATTTTACTCATCGCATCGATTTAAAGTCAAAACATAAAGAAGATGCCATTTGTAGCTTGTGTTTTTTTTTTTCAAAAAGTAGACAAAACGCAATAATGTTAAAAAATGGATTTAGCAGGTTTACATTCTAAACCGACGGTATATTACTTTAAAAGAATAATTTATTTGATGATATAGGGGAGAAGAAGGCACCATAATACGCTTTTAGTTTTTGCTTCTTCAAAATTTATATAAAAGGCTTTTTTTAGAAGATTAGTTTGATTTGTAAAATAAATTCATACCTACAGAATCAAATTTTTTAATTACCAAAATACAACAGGTTAAACTGATTATACAGGATGTCTATTTAAAGTATATTTATCAAGTTAAATCCCCGCCCCTGGAGTATCTTAAAAAAAACTATGAGCATAATTAAAAAAATAAATAAAAAGTCAATTTAGAGAAAAGGAAATTTTTACTTGATAAACAAACAAATTGATAATTATAACCAAAATAATGTATCCAATGGATCGTCCACAATGGTCCAAAACACATTTCAGAAGTACAGATAAAATATAATTTTAAATTTTTAAGCCTCAATAAATAATGCCCTTTTAGCACTAGCTTAGTTTTTTCCATAGGTTTATTTAATGACGTAAAGAGCCTATGGATTGCAGTTTACAAAATATTCTTACTTACTGATATACTCTGATTAATTTGATTAACATATCGTAAAACTTTAAAAACTAAAAACTTTCTTTGTTATTAAACGCAAAGTTCGACCCGTTACAAGCCTATTGATATCAAATTATGTATATTTTTTTTGTCAAAACATAGCTCTAGTAGTAACTGCTTTACCATTGGAAAGCTGTTTACAACTCTTAAGATGCCTGTACAATTACAATATTTCATTGTGCTCTACTCTTGCCTATTTACCCCAATTAAAAACATAAACGCTTTCACTTTAAAAAGCAAAATAAATTGTATATAAAATATTTATAAAATATGAAAAACAGATCTGAAAGGTAGGAACAATTAAAAATTAAACATTGTATTTGTTCTGTGTTGAAAAATGCCGCATAAGTAAATTTTTTTCTAGAAAATAATTATAAACCAATTTTTTTTTACGCTGCAACTCTTGAACTTTTAAAAGGAAAATTTTAAACAAAAAAATTATGAAAATTACTTTATAACATCAAAAAAAGTCATGAAATTTATATCAGGAAAAAAGAACAAACTCTTCACAAAGTTAAAATAGCTGAATGTTTAATTTTGCCCCGTTACAGGCTCCGTTAATATAATAAAATATTATAAAATATCATACAATAGCATAAATTAATCTTTATATTTTTACTTCTTAAAAACAAGCAATTATCAGATACCTTTTAAGTGTACATTAGAATCTTCTTTAGTTTTATCCAATTGTTCTTCAATAATGCATAACACCTTGTCACTAAAATCTGTTTTCTTGAATAAGCTTTTTAAGGTTTTGAAAAAGTCATCTTTCATTTTGTTAATTTGATTACTATTGACTAAAGTTCCAGTTTTAGTATGTTTCAACTTAGGATCCATGTAAAGTATCGAAAAGATAAGTTGCTCTTTTTAAACTTTAACAACTAATTTAACACTAAATTTAAGAAAAAAATATCATTAATTAAGAGCGGACAGCATTAGTGGGAACATCACTGTTTTGTTATGTTTTAATGATTTGATATATACACCTATGATATATTGATATGATGATGATGATGATGATGATGATGATGATGATGATGATAATGATGATGATGATAAGTGAACTGGACATAATATTTTTTTGTAAAAAGTAAAAGAAAACGAAATAAATTAGAGGTTTTTTAAAAATCCACTTTCACTGCAAAATCCTCATTATGGATTAATCATGGTTATATCATGTAGTACCACGTGACTCCTAACATCACCAAATGTCACATGAGGATAGGAATCAAAACGTAATTACAACATGATTTTAAAACATAGATTTTTTACGGCGTGTTGAGAACGTGATTTTATGGGATATGAGATAAAATGCAGGTTGTTCAAATTCGTTAGTTAGTCTAAGGGTTGTTTTGGATTGCACTCAAGAGATTTTTAATTTATTACATTTTTTGTATATATAGGTTATTCGGTCCTCTTTCGAAGAAGAAGCAAGAGATAAGGAGCGAGGCGAAAGCTTGACCCGAATACACAAGACACATTAATAAAAAAAGACTAGATAGTGATAAAAAAAATTTATTTTTCGTTTTATTTATTAGGAATGTATAAAAATGAATTATCTGATACCAACACCACCGTCTACGTTTCCGACTCTATTGTCTTCATTGTCTAGCGCATCGTCTCTAGAAATGCGATAGGAGCGTTGGAAAGCGTTGAAAAGCTCGCGATTTTACAAACTCACCACTCATAATGGATCTTATAGTACCTTTTTTTTGTGAAAAAAAAGCGATGATTGATTTTGTATTTGAGGCAGTAGGAGAAACAACGTCAATTTTAAGATGACGCTTTTATCGCCATGCGAAGCTCTGCGTCGCTGACCAATATAACCTCACTTTCTTGTTGCGATTGTACAACAAAGTGTAGTCAATAAAGCTGATTCATTACGTGTGATTATTTTAATAGTGATTTAAGTTGAATAACAACTTTTATTTTTAAATTAAATTTACAACATTGTATTTTTTGTTAGTGTTTTAAGAACGTGTTTTGAATCTATTGGTAAAGACAACCTAGGTAATGTATTTATGAGGTTCTGAAGAAAACTCAATACAAAAGGTGTGGAGGATTTATTTTTGCATGGCTTTATTGATGTTACGGACATTGCGAGGAAAAGGTTTCGTTTGAGAGACAGCAAGAGAAAAAGTCGGGACAAAAACGGAAAAGTAACGGTGGAAACAAAAAGAAATTCACTAATCTTGTTTTAAACGGAGATGAGCGAGTACAGATACGTGTTGTGGCATTTATACCATCATTTTCTGTGTCAGAAAAGAGGGTTCAAAGAGTAAAAGGCTTAAAAACGGATGAAAATACAGTTAAAGATTTGATAGAAGTGCACATAATTTACGTTACCATTCATGGTATACTAGTTCACATGGTACATTTTCACATAGACTCTTTTCCAAAAAACTCTGATACACAATGGCGGTATATAAATGATATTTTTTGAGTGAAGATATGAACATGAAAATAATGTATGAACTCCTCATAAGAGAAAATGAAGGGGGAAAAGTTAAGTGATCAGTCCTATTTTAAATACTATAATAATCATTATCATTTACGTTTCGGGCAACAATCAAGTAGACACCTGTTGCACATGCAAAGAGTTAAAGCAGAAAGTAAAATCGTCTAACCATAATGATGTTGCTAAGCAAACAGCAGTAGCTGATTTGGCTGTACATAAAAGACGCGCAAAATAGTTTCACCATGCCATAAAAAAAGATGTACAGGACGCTGAGAAATAAAAAATGTAAATGTTTTGTCCCTAGCATTAGATTTTATGCAAAACATCTAACTACCTAAATACTTGTGTAAGAGCTACTTTACCTACGGCAGTTAACGGTTAGTGTATTTTCTGTTCAATATGTAAAGAGAAATGTTGCATCACTCTACCTTTATCACAAAGAGCATGCTGAAAAATTTCCAAATAAAACTTGCTGCTTTCTTTTGCACTACCTGTCTGCAATTCCTCAAGAGTATAAAAAAATCAACTTTTATGCCGATATTTGTTGGAGCAAATTAAAAACCATTGCTTTTACAAACTTTTTATGGCGCTCACTAACAATAAATGGTTTAAAAAAGTTAACCTATTTTTCCCAATCAGAAGGCACAGCTTTTTTCCCTGTGACCGTGAAAAAAATCTTCTAAATTGAATGACTTAAAAAAGCGAATTAAGTATATCCCAGATAATCATTTTATGACTTATAATGAATTACTGCAATGACCTACAGCAGAAAGCATTGATGGAGAAGCAGAAAATGTTTGGGAAAATGACAAAGTATAGACGATAGAATTGCTGTAATAGGCCTTTGTTTCCTTAAATTTTTTGTTAAAATTTGCCAATAATTTATAAATATAAACTTTGTGAAGATTTCTTGCAGTATATAGCATTATTTTCTACAGCCCAAAAGTAAAATCATTATAAAATAAGCAGCAATTATTTGTTAAATGTTAATGGTCCCAAACTTTAATTAATTTATTAGTTCTTCAAGAAAAAATATAAAAAAATATATCTTTGCTTTTAAGGTGAAAAACATTATTTCCATTAAAAAAAATTACTCAACCATTAATAAAAATTGACTAAGAAGGTAATGAAGTTTTTTTTTAGTTTCTCGAAAGTTTGTAATGTGTAACTTCCGCCCTTTTAACATTTCGCGAAGTTAGAATTATTTTGTTCTAGCTTCACAAATCAAAAAAATTGAGTTAGATCAATTTTTTTTTTTATGGATAAAATATTTATTTTTATAAAAAAATCAGTAAAAAAAAACTTACTATACCTGACATTGCATTTTGTTCTATCTCGTTAATCCTGTTTATAAATTAAAATCATAATGTGCTATCTCCGTTTTATCCAATCAAAAGTTATTTACGCCAAAATGGTAGCGTTTGTTTTTATTACGTGGAGGAGAGGGAAGGGGGAGGGGATGGCGAGCTGCCCCCCCTCCCCCACGTAATAACAACATTAAAGAGCATTCAGGAAATGATAGAGCAGAAGCTATTGGACTATCAGTTTAAATTAAAAAAATCATCTTTTGCTTTTCTAATGTTATTTTTGTTAAAGTTGTTAATTAATCTTTTTGTGCTATATAACTATTTGCAACGAGAAGATATAAATGTTACCATTGTCGCGATTTAAGATATACTCCTGTGATTTAGAACACTGTAAGCGTTGCATTTTTTTTTTTTTAATGTTGATTTTGGGTGCCCCAAGAAGTCTATGCGGTCTTATCACAGAGCACCGCGGAAGAGCATTTAATAGGAAGTTCACGCCTCCTTCCTAACCGATGTTGCAAAACTTGGCCAGAGGTAGGGTTTGAACCACGGATCTTACGTTTCTTAGGCAAGTGTGCTACCACTGCGCCACGACTGGTTAAATTATTTCGATTGCTTCTTGAATCTTAAGCGTTTAGTTATTAGGAGTGAAAGAAATAATTTTTAGTTTACTAAAGTTAATTGAACCACGACAATGTTGGGCGTGTTCAACTATTCTTGATGCGTCTCAGTTACTTTTAGCTATGTTTCTTTCGTGTTCATTAAACACGTGTGGAAACTTTTTTTCTACTTGTACCGATATAACTCGCACCACATGAAAAATCTAACTGATAAACACCAGGATAACTATTTGGATGCAATGTTGATTTATTGCGACATAAAATAATAAGTAAAGAATTACAATAGCGAAAAACGATTTTAATACCTACTCTACGAAACTCTTTTTTAAGTATAATGCTTAATTTCGGTATCCACGGTAGTATGACAATTTTTCCAGGGTCTATTTGCTGGTTTATTGCATTTTTATGTGATAGTTTATAATTTTTAGCGATATCTGAAAATTGTTTGTATGAACGTTCTTTTTGGGAAAACACATAAACAGGAAACTCAACTTCATTCTGAGTATTTTGTTCTGAACATATTTTATATGCTCTTGAAAGAAAACCTTTAAAAATACTTATTGCTATATTAGGTGAGATTGAAGAATGTTGTTTAACATTAGTGATTGCTTGCTTACGATAAATTGAAAAATTGTATTTATAATGAAATTGATTGATAGGAATACAAACGTCTAGAAAATTTAGTTGACTTTGAGAATTTTGCTAATCAATAGTATGCTGAATGGCTGTATCTTGCGTATTTAAAATATTTAAAAAAGAATTTGCGTCATTAACATTAGAAAATCGAGCGTGACTATTATCAACGTACCTTTTATTGATTACATATATATATATATATATATATATATATATATATATATATATATATATATATATATATATATAATATATATATATATATATATGTTTTATATATACTGTTTTTCCACCTAAATATCTTTTTTCTAATTGTGCTCGTGTTTGATCAATTTCTTCTTTTGAAAATAACTTAAAATAAATTCCATTTATCTTGGCTTTACAAAAGGAGTACATTAAATTAACATCTAAAATCTGCCCAGTAGTTATTTGTTTTAGACTTTCTTGACATACTACTCTTTTAACATATATATATATATATATATATATATATATATATATATATATATATATATATATATATATATATATATATATATATATACATACATATATGCATACATATATATATATACATACATATATATATATATATATATATTTATTTCATGTATATATATGTATATACAAATATATATATATAATGATTTTACACTGAATTGGTCCATCCTTAAAACAGTGCCTGCATATAACAATATTTCCAAAAAATGCATACTATGTCTACAAGAAAAATTTGAAATAATTACACATACAAACCAAGAATGTTTATTCAACAAAAAATCGGAATTGATTTCTAAATAAAGGCACAAAAATAAGTTTCTCTTAAAAAACTAGAAAAATAAGTGAGCTCAAATAATAGTTACATTAACTA